GGTGGTCTGTAACATCATGTGTCTGTGTTTCCTACAGATGTTCCACAGCTGGTGCTGGTTAAAGAAGAAGCTCCTGAAGAACAGAGTGCTGGTGTGGACCCAGGACCCAGAAACACCTCCACATAAAGGAGGAACTGGAGGAGCTCTGGACCAGTCTGGAGGGAGAGCATCTCTGTTTGAAGGAGGAGACTGAAGCTGTCGGGTTTCCTGTTACTGCTGTTTCTATAAAGAGTGAGGATGATGAAGAGAAACCTCTGGTCTCACAGCTTCATCAGCAGCAAATAGAAGACAGAGATGTTCCAACCAGCAGCTCAGCTGACCAGATGGCAGCAGAAACTGGTGGAGGAGCAGGAACTAGCAGGAACCCAGATCTGAACCCTCATGAACAAACATCTGATTCTTCAGAGACTGAAGTTAGTGGAGATGATGATGATGATGGTGTGAATCTGGACTCTGAGCTGTCAGACTCTGGGTCTGAAACTGGAGATGATGATGATGACTGGAATGAGAGCAGGTCTTCTGAGTCAGATGGTAAGTCTGTCAACAAGTTCTTCACAAGTGGTCTCTCCAGAGACACGTGAGGGAGACAAGTCATCCAGCAATAAGGTCTTCAGGCTGTTTGGTTCATAAGAAATGTGTTAGAGTGAAGCAACATTTAGACTCGTGCAGGAAAGTCCAGAAGAAACCTAAATCATTTAGTCATGATGAGTGTGGAGAAAGGTTTACTACAAATGTAAATAAACAAATCACATGAGAGTCCACACATAGCAGCTGCTGTTCCAGAGTATGGGCCAGCCTCATCCCACCCATTACTCTGCTTCTGGCCGCTAACAAGGTGTGTGTGTGTGTGTGCGTGTGTGTGTGTCTGTGCCTGCGTGTGCGCGTGTGTGTGTGTGTGTGTCTGTGTGTGCGTGTGCGCGTGTGTGTGTGTGTAATTGTAGCGTCAGGAAGGTCCTCTTATTTGTGACAAAGGTCACATTTTCCCAGCTGGGTCAGACTGTAACATTTAGTTCCACAGATTAATGGGCTCGACACACGGGAGGCGACAAACGACTGCGATCAGCGAAATTTGTCGCTGTCGCTTTTATTACCTGTCACACGGGAGGCGATCCGCGGCAGCGGCCAGCGGCAAAGCCGTCTACGCGTTCTGTTCCATGGCGAAATCGAAACTTCCGTTGTTTTGTTTGGTTGTGTCACGTTGGAGGGAATTAAGGTTATTTAAGCGGTTCAGAGTTAATAAAGCGGTAGATATGATGTTTCACAAGGTGCTGCTAGAGTTATGTGAAATCTTACTTGTGATTTTACTATATAAAACATAATAATAATCAACTTCTCGTCCATGTTTGCTTGGAGATGTGCGGAGCATCCTGTCCGCTCATTGGTCAGTGAATGAAACCTCCGTTGATTGGTCCTCGTCCGAGCGACAGCGATGAAAAGTTGAAAATGTTTCAACTTTCTGGGATCGCGTCGCTGGGTCGTTCGTGCACGACACGTGCACGAGTGCAAACTTTCACACGCACGCTTTTCGCGTTTCGCTTAGTAGGAGGGAGACCCGCGATTATCGCTTTGTCGCGCATGTCTCATTGAAAATGAATGGAGGAGAGGCGATGTCGCCTCCCGTGTGTCGAGCCCATTAAGAGGAGCCCTGATGACTAAAGAATATCATCCTTTATCTGCTGCTGTTCCATCCCAGAAGAAGGGCACTTCAAGTTTCACAATAATAATTTAAATAATAATTTTAATAAACGCTTTGACTTTATTGAGGTTTATTATAATCACCATAATTTATCTCTTGGTTCAGTATAAATGTATTTTTAATTACTGAAATGAATTATTATGCTTTGGGTATAATTATGATTATGGTTGATGATCAGTAATGTGTGTTCAGCAAATCAGAAGTTCAACTTCCTCTTTATCCATCTAACACAGAGCTTATCCAGAGTAAAGGGTAATCTGCCATCACATGTCTTCCTCTCATAACCAAAGCTTTCTTGCTCTGAGAGAGGGCGTGTTCTGAGGAGTTTGTTAAATCTAACTTTCCAGACGCAAAACACCAGTTCGTGAACCAACCACCATCACTGAGGATACGGGAACAGCCGTCCCTAACCTCCACCTGCTGTTCTGTCACGCCGATAAGAATAGCTACGAATAAACGTAACTGCAACCAGCTGACGCAAAAACTCCTCCAGAGTTATTGTGTCACACCCTGTCCTGTCTTCTCTTAGTCTGTGTCTCCGGTAATTGATCCCACCTGCCTCTTGTTTCCCAATCACCATAGCTCCCGCTCCTCGTGTATTTAAACCCCTTCTGTTCTGTGTTCCATGTTGTGTCATTGTTTCAGTGTCCAGCGTGTGTATTTAATAAACTCATGTTAGACGGACTTACCTGTTCGCCTTCTTCCTCCCCGCGTTTGGATCCTACCTCCGCTCCACTCACCAGGCACGCTTGTGACAGAATGACACGACCCGTTAAAGGATCCAGCGGGGAGATTCTTCTGTAGGAGTACCTGCTCCGGTGGCTTACCCCGACCCACCAGCCGGCTTCTCCCTCTCCGGCCCCAGCTCCGCCTCGCCGCCGCCGGCGTCCCCGACCGTCAGCCTCGGCGTTCCTCGCCGCCCTTCCGTAACCGGACGGGAGTTTGGATGGGGAGACGCTCCTGGATCGCTGTGGTTATGAGGGCACGAGGCTGGCTGTCTGTTCCCCGGGAGTCGGTCCACGGCGTGGGGAAAGACGCCGGACTCCACCACCATCCGGTGTCTCCGGACGGAGCTGTGAGCCCGCATCTGCCCCTGCCCGGCGCGGCAGTTTGGACACGCCCCCGGCCAGACCACCAGTCCCGTCTCCTGCCGAACCGGCCCCTCCGTCGTCTGCAGGGGGAGGAGCAGCACTCGCAGCCCAGCTGATAGAGCTCCAGGCGGAGCTCGGCCGGTTCCGCCAGCTCATCAGCCTCCAAGAGTCTCACCTGGACGCTCTAACCTCCCCGAACCACCAGGAGAGGGTCTCGGGCCAGCATGCAGCTTCCTCATCTCTGAGCCAGAGGAGCAAGCCCGGGGTTCACCCAGCGGTGCTCGCCAGTCTCCGGGCTGAGCTGGTCCAGCTCCATCGGACGCTCAGCCTAAAAGAGCTACAGCTGGACGATCTATCCTCCCTCCTCTCATCGTTCCCAGCACCACCAGTTCTCACACAGTCTGTTCCAGCGTTGGCCCTGGTGGACGCACCGTCTCCAGTTCCAGCGGTGGTCCCGGAGGTCGCACTGCATCCGGTCCAGCCTATCCAGGCAGCTACCCCCGAAATTATGACACGTCTCTAAATAAAGTAAAATTTTCCAGTGCAGAGTGGAGACAACCCATAGAAGCACTGATTTGATCTCGTTTCAGAGAAAAAATAGCACAGGTCAGATGCACCTAATAAATAAAATTACTAACAAACTCAGGAATCTTTCTTTGCTTCACTGTTCTGGTGCTGAGAATATCACTAATGCGGATCAAAGGAGACACACAGATGAATGCACCTCTTATTTATTATTTGGAAACTACATTTACTGCAGCTGGCAGAGGCGGTTATTTTTTCTATTGATACACGAAATTTACAGAATCATTTTAAATTTTAATAGAGGAAGACTGCAGGAGGGAGCGGTAAAATACAGGGGGTCCCCAGCAAAAACAAGAAACTTTACGAGTCTGATGAAACCCGCTGGATTTCCATCAGGCAGTCACGGGGCAGCTCCAACGACCCAGTGGCTGTGCTGGGTCAGTTATCGAGCCCAGTCCGGTACCGGCTCGGCCGTGAACGAGCCGAGGCGACGTCGTGCTCTGCTTAAGAAGCGGTGTTATTTTCCCGCTTCAGAAGAAGCGTCCAACGTGTTTTCACGCTTTCTCCGAGACATGTCACGTCGCTAAGTTGTTAGTGCCGCGCGCTAACACGTCAATTGTGCAGCGTAGCCTGCTGGAGGTTTTAAGGGTTCAGATGAAAACACCCGACCTCTCAGGCTGCTCACACATCGATCTTAAGTTGTCGCTGTTGTGCTCACATCGTAATACAGTTGTGACAGTTAGTCAGACATGAAAAAATAAATACATTTTACATGAATAAGTGATGCTTAGCCTGGTGGAGGGAGGAAAATCTGGCCTAATAAGCACTGGAGGAAACCCTGTCAAGATCGTCAACACTCGTTTATCTTAATGCTATTGAAACATGTAAACCAAAATGCATTATATCCTAGGGCTGTAGGTAAACGATTATTTTCAAAACGATTATTCTGGCGATTATTTTATCGAATAGTCGACTATTCTAATGACTAATTAAATGATTAATCTTATGATTGTTTTTTTTTTTGCTGTACAATTGATTAAAACCAAAATATTTTAAAGAAATACCCCCAAAATTGTATAAATGGCTTTATTACACAACAATTTTCCAAAGTCAAACATCTTTTGCTTAAAACAAAATAAAAGCAGTATTATTATTGGAACACAGTTCCAATAACTCTAGTTTTAGTGCAAAACAGAACACTGTGCAGGTCACAGCATGAACATCCCTGAGTGTTTAACACAAAAAAACTGTTTAACAGTCTCTAAAGGAAGAGCACCCAGTTTTACAGCCTGAACAGAAAAAATTGTTGTATAGTTTTAAAAATGCAGTGCAAAACAAAACACTGTGCAGTGCACAGCACACATTCCTCAGTGTGTCCCAGTTATTGCAAAATGAAACTGAACCGTTATTCTGTTAGTGTATGCAGTTTAAAATATTTTTATTTTTTTCCCCTCCCACATCTCCACACTGTACTACTCCTCTGCACTGCCTACTCTGAATTGCTGTGGAGGAATGTGAGCATGTCCACATGCTCTTTGGTGAGACTAGCTCTTTTTTTGTTGACAACTGTCCCTGCTGCTGAAAACAAACGTTCAGACGCTGTGGATGTTGCAGGGGCGCCCAGATAAGACTTTGCCACAACAGCCAGGGTGGGGAATCTCATTTCATTTTCCTTCCACCACTGGAGTGGGTTTCGGTCCTTTGGAATGGGTTTCTCCCCAAAGTACACAAGCAACTCATTCCTGACAGCGTCTTCTCTCTGTTCCCGGCCTGAGTCGTCATCTTCCAGCTCCTCCTCATCTGAGCCAAGCAGTGAGTGTAGGACGGACTTTGGCTTCAGCATGGCATCATGCTGCTGGTGGGAGACATCAGCTTCAGGTTCTTCCTTCACTAGAACTGGTCTGGCTTCAAGTGCAAGGCTCTGAAGTTTGATTTTTACCTTCAGGACATCATCAGTGGAAAGAAATTTCAGCTTTCGGAATCGTGGATCAAGGGCTGCCGCGAAGATGCTCACATTATTCTCATTTTCATCATATGAAGTCTGATTCTTCCATCTGAAACATAATTGATATGATTTTTACACTTACATAAATTCAAAGTGCTTGGAGGGAAAGACTAGTAGAAGCAACAGCTCTATGATATATACCTATGAGGAAAACATTAAGACGCAAACTGGGAAAGCTTAATTTAAAATACATTTAGTTAGTTTAAAACTAGAT